CCGACATCGACTGACTGAGCGACTGACTCGTTACTCTTAACTACTCCTACTTATTATAGGTGGGAGAGTCTATTATTATTATTATTATTATTATTATAGGTGTGTTCTACTATAACATTCCTCGCTAAAACTTTACTCCGTAGGAGTAAACAGTTTTCTTTATTCCTTTTTCATTTTTTACAGAAAATATGAAGAAAAAACAACAAAAAAAAATTATTTTTTTTAGCAACATCGTAGCATATCTCCTACTTTTTTTTTATCCACTTTTAAATGATCAGTTGTCTTTCTTTTTCTCCTTGATTGGCGTACATCTGGTAAAATTGTTGCGGGTGAAACGTATTGAAAATCACCTCCATCGCCGTTTTTTCCTCGGGACTGCTGTCAACCACGTCTGAAAAACGTCGTCTGATCTGGTTTCTGCGCGTGAATTTTTCGCCTTTCACCAAGTACATCATATTGCCAATTCGCTTTTCTATTTTTTTGTACCTCCATAGTGTTACCAGAAACAACCTTCCGCTTTGAGCTTCTTAAAGATGGAGTCACAGTTTCTGTAGGTTCTTCTTGTGGTTCTATTTGGTCAGCCTCTAGCTTTACTTCTGTTGATCTTGTGCTTCTTAACGTTTTCTGTGGTGACTTCAGTTGACTTAAATTATTTAATAATACTGCATGTCCTTGGCTGCAGGTAACTCTCTCCCCAGTTTTTCTCGGTGTCGGTTTCATTTTTACTTTCTGGAGCTTGTTTTTCACATATATCGTCGGTGTTACCCATTCAACTTTTTTAAATACACTGGTTTTCTCTAATCTGTCCAATTCATTATCTATCTGTTCAATTGAAGCATACAGCAACATTCCTTTTCTTTTTGAATACCGCCTGAGCGTTTTCTTTTGGCTGGAATTTTGCCTCCCTCTTGGTACACGTTCCCTGGAGAAAACACAGTAGGAAATGTTTCCTTAAGTTTCCTTACTAATTTTGGGGCTTCTGAGTTTAAACTTTCAACCTTGTAACAGAAAGAATTCATCCGTAGATCCCATAATTGAAATTCTGTTATCCAATTCGTACCAAGTTCGTGGTATTTTCCACGTATGCAATTTATGATAGATAGGTCGGAACCAGTGTTGAGTTGCATTTCTATTTTTTTTGTACTTATTTCGATGGTAACAATTTTTCTGGTTATTCCATCGTTAACCTCGTCGGACTTTAATTTTCTTATTTTATTGTCTTTATTTTTTGACCTGCAGTGCGAGCTTTTATGACCCACTCTTTTACAGTTGAAACATTTTTTATTCCTAAAATTGCAATATCAGTACCACTGTAGTTCACCGCAAGCAAAACATGGCTTCGGGAGTTTTTGTTTATTTTTCTCTGGTATTTCACTTTTTGTTTGATAATCCGCAATTTTAGAATTCTATTTGGTAGACTGACTTTCTTTTTTGTAGCGTATTTTCCTTACATGCGAAACGCCAGACTGTTCTATCTTTTTCGAATCTTTCTTTACGATAACATATCTTGTACAGTCTTCTGCCAACCTCTGTATCGTAATTCTTTGTTCGTTTTCTAATTTTGACAGTACAAATTTTCTCAACTCTGCGTCTCTTTCCGATACCAGCCCTTGAACAAACACTAAGTACTTAAAATTGTCAGCGCTTAATTCTGCCAGCTTGAATTCTTCACAATGCTTATTCACATTGGCTGCGTACGTTATATAGTCTTGTTCGTCATCTTTCATCAGATTCAAACATTTCCACCTCTTGTGAAACAAAGATGTCTTTTTACTAAATAATTCACTTAATATATTTACCGCCTCGGTAAATGTCAACTCACTAGTTTTTTTCGGTAAAATGTAGTTTACCAATTTGTTATGCCCAGCAGTTCCTAACTTGCTTCGTTCCTTTAGACCACGAGTGGCAGTCCTCGTTATACACGTCCGTATATTTTTTATAATACTATTCAAAAGTTATCTCTTCATCTGGACTGTACGCGAATATTTCAATTGAATTCCATATTGTATTCTCTGGGAAAGAATCATTTCGTAGATTTTTCTCTTTCCTCTTCTCAGTTATTTCCTGAATTTTGTTTTGAAACTCCTTATGCGTCTGTTCCATGTCTCGTTGAAACTGCATCTGTCTATTAAAAGTTTCCTCCTGTAGTTGCATCTGGAATGTTTTCTGTTGCTCTAATATTGTCATCTGTTGTTCCGTCTGGAACTTAAAAAATTCCTGGAATATATTTTTGCATTCCTCCATCTTCGCAAAAAGTTTACACAATGCTTAAATATTGTAGAGAGAATCCTATGAATTTGCAATTCGCGACCTATTTGAGCAAACTGTCTTATCGAGAAAAAAATCTTTTCTCAGTTGAGAATACGACTGATATTTTCGTCAGTAAGTTGACGTCTTGTCTTTCGAAAAACTTTGCCAAGTTTTTTTTTTTTTTTAAGTGTGAATCCGAGATTTTGTCGCCGAAATTGTGACGAGCAAGTTTTTTCTTTCTCCTCCGTATGAGCACGAATTTTTTTCTCTTCCAGCGTATGAATTTCGAATCCCTTCGCCGAATAATACTGTGGCGAACACAATTTTTTTCCTCCGTATGAGTTTGAATACTCGTGGCCAAATTTGTTATGGCAGATGAAATTTTTTTTCTCCCACCGTATGAGTTCGAATCCTCCTTGCCAAGTGTTGTAGAGTACGAATGTTTTTCTTCCTCCGTACGAGTTCGAATCCTAGTCGCCAAGTGTTGAAGAGTAGTTTCACAGTGGAGGCTTGTATTTGTACTAAGTCGGTCCTAAAATAGATTCGACGTTCAAAACGTTAGGAAATTGATATAATAGGTAATGGCGCAAATCTAGTCGTGGTCGCTGATACCTTAATATCCGACTAACGGTCGTCCGACATCGACTGACTGACCGACTCACTGAGCGACTGATTCGTTACTCTTAACTACTCCTATTTATTATAGGTGGGAGAGTCTATTAACTATAGAACAGGTGTGTTCCACTATAACAGAAAGTGAGCGTTCTGACCATATATATATATATATATATATATATATATATATATATATATATATATATATATATATGAGAGAGTAAGTGCGTTGAATAAATTGTTGTCTAAATTACACAAAAATGAAACCCAGGATAGAACTAACTCCTCAAGTCATTTGATGTAGGCCTCCGTGTTAAGTCTGAGGCACTGTGGGAAAATGATCGGACATAACGTTGCCATGCACACCAAACACCTTCTTAATCGTCATTAGACTCATCCAACTCTTCCAAAACCTCTGCACTATCCTCAGATTGACAGCTAAACAAACCGGAATGTTCATATTGGTGCTTCCGGCGCATGCCGTTTCCAAATTTCTGGCAGCGTGAATTGCATCATGGTGCTCTTTTTCTCAAAGACGGTACCCAGCTGACCCTAATATGAAGTGCAATCGATAAAATCAAAAACAAACAATGCACTTGTGACAGATATTAAATAAAAAAATGGCGACAATTTACCCATCAAACCCTATATAGTGAAATAATCACTCAAAGAATATATTAATAAAGTTAACGTAATTAATGGCGGACAGATTAAGAAGGCATAAACTAACTGACCACTCGCTGAACGACGCGATCCTTGTTTTTATTAATTGTACAATGGATTAGATGTTCGATCCATATTGTTTGCAAGTACTTTCGGTGAAAACATTCACCATCTTCAGGCATAGATGTTATTTTTTCCTCAATTTCAGGTAATATCGGGTAGAAATTCCAAGACGAAAATGAATCTGTTACTTGTTAAAAGATGCTTGATTAAAAAAAGTGTATTTTTATTAACAGTTAAGAATAATTATGAACGTGCAGAAATGCAACGCTAGATTTTTGAATAGTGTAGTAATGTAGTAATTCAAAATTTCTATTATTATTATTAATATTATTATTATTATTATTATTATTATGAATATGGTCTGTTCAGCGAGTGGTCAGTAAGTTAATACCTTCTTAATCTGTTAGCGAAGTGAATTTGCCATTAATTACGTTAACTTTTTGATTTGTTCTTTGAATATTTTACAATATTAAGTAAGCTGCATTATTTATTAATTTGAATATATATATATATATATATATATATATATATATATATATATATATATATATATTTGTGTGTGTGTGTCTGTGTAAATTACTATTAATAAGATTCAAATTGTAATTCACCATAATAATAATTTGTAAATAAATTGTAATTCAATATGCTCTATAATAAAAAATATATTGAGCTCTCTTTTGTGGATCAGTTTTAATATTTTATATTAATATGGTCTACTTGGATTACTTTCCCATGGATTTTTACCCATATATATATATATATATATGTGTGTATGTGTGTGTGTGTGTGTGTGTGTGTGTATTATGGAGGAAGCATGAGTCGACCTTTGATAAGTATTGTGAAATTCTTTATTTGTCTTTAGCCTCTTGTTGACCTTTTGTGGGTTATTTTTAAAACCGAATCATATTTTGAATTGTAAGGATTTTTTTGTGAGTGAATATTGCATTAACAATTTTTATAGAATAGCAATGGCTTTTCCAGATATAAGTCGTAATATTTAACCCATAGCTGGAGGAGGCAGATGGATCCGTATCTTTTTGAAGGGTATTTGCATGTAAATGATCTTAACGAAGCTGAATGTAATTCGAACTTCTCAGTTCGAGTCACTATCTATTTCACCAGTCTCATATCGTTTAAACATGTATTTATATTCATTTGTAAATAAAAGCTACCATTATCAAGTTTACTTGCAAGCCCATGCCTAAACCGATAAACAGTAATATATAACTCAACGCAGATAAAATATTGTTTTTGTTTACAAACAGTGAAATAAAAATATAAATAAACAAAATCCCAAGCAGACGGATACGTGGAAAAAAATTGTTCTAACGCAGTGAAAGACGGCTAGGGCAGAGATTCATAACTGTTTTCTTCTTTTTTTTTTTTTTTTTTTTTTTTGAGAACGGAATTTAGACACAAAACAAGTTCAAAGAATCGGGCATAAAGACGAAAAGAAAAAAATAGATGGGACATTGCGAGTCTAAGAAAAATAAAAACACTAAAACCCAAAATATGAAAACAAGCGGTCGCTTTGAAACAGGAACACGAAAACGAGGCAAATCGGCAGAAGGAGTAGTAGGAGCAGGAGGAATAGAAGGATGAGGTCTGGTGATGTAAATGGCGGGTTTCTTATCTATGGTTTTCGCACAAATAAACTGTAACACGCTCACAAGCGCACAGAAAACCGAAAAGACAGCAACTCTAACACCTTGCAACAGAGATATAAAGACATACTTATATTTGCTTTCGTCAGAGTGAATGTCTAAAAAGTGAGAGAAAGAATGAAAGAGAGATAGAGAAAGTGAGAGAGAGAGAGAGAGAGAGTGAATGAGAGAGTGAGAGAGGGGTATATGAAGGAAGAGAAAATACAT